GTGATGCTGAGGCCACGAGCACCTCGGCGGGCAAGGCGTGCTGCGAATTGGCTACCGCATTTGCTTTTATTGTTGATGGCCGGGATGGGAAATGCAATTGAGACACCTTAATGAAAAGCTAACAAAGTTGGGTTTGGAGGGGGGGCTGGCGTTCTGGTAGCCTTGCTTCTCATTAGAGAATAATATGAATGATTTGTCTGGGAATATTCCTACTGCTGCGCCTGCAGCAGCGCGCTGACCACGGGCCGAGACCCTATGCAAACGCAGAGTAAGAGGGTCTCTGGGGCCCAAGCTGTTTATCTTGGATTGCACAAATAAAGAAATGCTGCTAATTTTATAGCAGCTGCTTCTCAGAGATGTTTTGAGTGTCGGGCTCTGACTGTGTGTGTGTAACCAGCATGTCGCGGCCAAGCATTTTCTAGCCCTCCTTAATTCCTGAGTCTGGTGTTAATAACGCTCATTGTGAATTGGTTCAAGTAGGAAGGCGGGTGAGGGTACGTGAGTCTTGCCTGATGACTGCACCAAAAATGCTGGAGGACATCCAAGGTAGAGTTGGGGGATGCTCCTGCTGCTCAAAGGAGGGTCCTGGCACATTGCCAGGGCCTGTGGCTTTTTCTTCCAAAGCCTTTCCCCACCCATCTGAACTCTCCAGAAAAGTTCCATATTTCTTATCTCCTGCCATCTGAGGGAAAAATGTTGTTTGTACATGGAGAGCTGGATGGAAGGCCAGAAAGATGGATTGCTCAGATGCAAGCCTCTAGGCCTTTTTTCCTCCTGTTTAACATAATATGGGACTTGATTTTTAAAAAAACAAACAAACAAACAAAAAAAACAAAACAAAAAAAACACCAACAAACAATAAAAAAACAACAAACTAAACCTAACTTATATTAGAATGTTTCACAGGGAAGAGCATGGCAAATAAAGTTCAAGTAACTTATTAATCTGATTTAGTGCGTGACTTTTTTCTGACTGAGATTTCCAGTGCTCAAATCCTTTTAAGACTGAAGAGTTGGTCCAAAGTGTGATGGGACTCTCCTATTCTTTATGACCTAAATCAGTGACCCAAAGTGTAATATTTTCTCTAGAACCATCTGTTTCCTCTTCTTGCCAAGGGGATTTCACAATGCCTGGTTGCTCTGAATAATTGTACGTATGCAAGGATATGACTTGCCACGGGGAGAAAATTAACTGAACAGGGGCAGGTGGATGTTCTTGAATTTTCTGTTGAAACAACTACCCTTTAGAAAGAGAGGGTGAAGAACCATGCCACTGAGTAATATTTTATGCCCACACTAATTTTTTTTTTTAAGCCTACATATGTAAAAAACCCACCAGAACTACAGTTAGGTGCTATCTGGGATACACAGAGTAGATACCGAGTCAGCCTGTGTTTTGACAGCCCCTTTATCAAGCGTCTCCGAGACTTGGTTTGGAGCGGTGTGAAACACAGGAGTACAGATGTTGGGTGACTAATTCCTGCTTCGGCTAAACTTCAATGACCATGAACACACATCTGTTTCAACTTAGCTCTCTGCCAAATGGCCTGCAACAAGGTACTCCTCTTTACAAACACCATGTTTTCAATTTTTTTACTTCAGATTTGCAAGCGGTGGCTACAGCCTGCGTTCTGGGAAGCAGAAGGTACCCAGGGACTGTGATCAGGGGAACAATGTTCAGGGCTTCTGACTCCAGCAGTAAGAGCTTTTTGTAGCATTAGCAGGATTTCCAACGCAAACAACTTCTTTCTTTTAAATCTGTCTTCATACAGGAGACTTGCTTTTTCATGTTCATCTTATCTGTCCTTATCACCCAGCTCTCTGACTTGCTCGCTTCCTGCGTTGTGTATCTTTCTTTTTTCTTAATTAGAAAATTGGGAGGAGGGGGGCAGAGGCAGACCAACGGTTTCGGGTGTGGAAATACCATTTATATAAAACTGTCTTGGTAAATTCTCAGTATTATTCTTCCAGCCCAATAATCCTACTACAGCATCTTTAAATAAAAGCAAACAGAGGAGAGGGCTTTGGTCTATCATGACAGTGTCTCTGTGGAGCAGATCCCGTAATGCGGGCGCAGGATGGTACCCGTTGCATCCTCCACTTAGGCGCAACCCCGTCCCTGCGTAATATGCCCCTGCCCTAATGAGGAGGGGGGATTTTGGTGTCATGGGGGATAAGGGGATGGGTGTTGGTGACCAGGTGCTTTTCTTCAAGGAGGCGTTGGTGTGTCCCTGTCTAGGAGGGTAAATGCTTCTCCCCAGGACCACGGGCCTGGCTGTACTTTTGCGGTCGGCAGCGCGGCATGCGTAGGCTGCGGTGTGGCTGGAGAGCCAGCCTGGTTCCCAGCTGTGCCGTGAAACAGGCCCTCTTTCCGGAGGAAGGGGCAAGGTAGCTGTGCTTAGCCGTCCCGCTTGGGTCCCCCTGGCTAGGACCGGGCCCGGGTGACAGCCGGGATGCCGTCCCGGGGTGCAGCCTGTAGCGCGGATGGGTTGGTCCACGTTTCCCGGCACGTGCCGCTGTCAGACCCGGCATTGTGTTTGCTGGAGACGGGGCAGATGGCAAAGGGGAGGGCAAGACCGGCCAGGCATTGCGGAGGCTGGACTTCGAGAGGCGTTGACGGGACCTGCTTGTGTCCATCTCTGGTACAGGTCTGGGAATACCTTCCTTCTCTTAGAAATTGAAACCTTCATGGCTGGGCTCTTTTTTCTCTTCTCTTTTTTTTTTTTTTTCCTTCTTTTTCCTTTCTGAGGTGCGGTTTTTTAATGAGCAAAACCAGTTCAGCCTTTTGTATTCTCCAGCAAAATAAAGGTATTGACGTACTCATTTTCCTCTCTTCACAGAAACATTTTTAAGTACTGTGTGATTAAATTAACTTGGAATGGAGAAGTGTAGTATGGCAAAGGCTGTCCTTGAGGAGAAAATATAGCTTTAATAACCAGGAATCTGGTTTTTATTGGCTAGTAAAATTGAGGACGTAACACTGAGCATGCTCGGGTTTTTGCACTAAGCATCTCTGTGTACTTAAAGGCATCTGTTCTGTCGGTTTATGCACTGTTAACTAACTGCAAACCTCTTTAACAGCTCCTCTACACCGCTGGAAAATCCTGAGGCAGGGCGAGGGCAAGTACTGCTGTCATGCCTGATGACTGATGTTGTAAATGGAGTGAGAAAGGCCCTTGGAGGGGAAGCCGTCAAAGCTGACCTAGTGGGAAAAGAGCGCGGGGACAGGTTTCCTCTCAAAGCATGCCAAGAGAGCCAGGCTTGGATGCATATGGGGCTCTTTCCAGTTTCGGGAAGGTGCAAAGTGATGCGCTGTGGAAGGAATGGCTCCAAAATCATTAATTAAAGACTGTCCTTCTGGTGCACCTTATGACCAAGTTACTGTGAAGAATAAGGTTTTGCCAGGGCTTGAGCTCACTTTGTAGAGATTTCTGATGTGGAGTAAAGGCTTGGGAGGACTGTGAGCAAGAAAAGACCGTGAAATATGTAGTTTACAGTGATTAAAAATGCCAAGTATAAAAATATTTTTTAAAAATGATGGGGTGGGGGGGTAGTAGATTTCCCTGTCTGCTCCTGCGCTTAGCCTGAACTCCAGTGAGTGAGTGCACTGTAATTTTGAAATGGGCAACACTTCTGTGTTGCCGTGAAGCAAAATGATGGGCTTTAATTAGATGAGAAACAAGAAAATGCAATCACTGAATAGGTTTCCAGCAAAGAGAAAGAAAGGGGCATTAAACATCATAGTCGCTAAAGGGGGTAGGTGCTAGCCCAGCGGTAACACCGGAATCTGTCCTTCTTCAGATAACTGAACTAGACAGTTTGGACATGGAAAACTGCAGTAAGCACAACACAAATAGGCTCATTGGATGGGTCTTCTTGAGTAAGAGTGTAACTTGATTATATGTTTGGGAAAGATGGGAAATGTATGGGGTTATCTCTGGTCAGCCTCACCTCATACATCCTTGCTTTTGTCTCTGCAGGTTGAGGATGTCCGGGACCTGTTTGGTGGAAGCGGCCATGTCGCGAGCAACTCGCCCACCCACCTTCCCAGTGAGCTTCCAACTCCTGAGCGTTGTGCTGGTGTTGCTCTTCCATGCAGACGGCATACACGCGGAGAGCCCCAGTGAATTGCCTGTGAACGATACCGAGGAGTGCGCTGGCTCGTACATCTGCAAAAAGGGTGTGATTTTGCCAATATGGGAACCCCAAGACCCCTCATTCGGTGACAAAATTGCTCGGGCAACAGTGTATTTTGTAGCAATGGTGTACATGTTCTTGGGAGTATCTATCATAGCTGACCGCTTCATGTCCTCCATCGAAGTCATTACATCCCAAGAGCGGGAAATAACCATCAAGAAACCCAACGGCGAGACCAGCAAAACCACGGTGAGGATCTGGAACGAGACCGTTTCCAACCTCACGCTGATGGCCTTGGGCTCGTCTGCCCCCGAGATCCTCCTGTCTGTTATCGAAGTGTGTGGCCATGGCTTCACGGCAGGGGACTTGGGGCCAAGCACAATTGTGGGGAGTGCTGCGTTTAACATGTTTGTCATCATTGCGATCTGTGTTTACGTTGTTCCGGATGGAGAGATAAGGAAGATCAAGCACTTGCGAGTGTTTTTTGTTACAGCAGCCTGGAGCATCTTTGCCTACACTTGGCTTTACATTATTTTATCTGTGTCTTCTCCTGGGATTGTAGAGGTTTGGGAAGGCTTGCTCACCTTCTTCTTCTTCCCCATCTGTGTGGTGTTTGCCTGGATAGCTGACAGGAGGCTGTTATTTTACAAGTACGTCTACAAGAAATACCGAGCTGGCAAGCAGCGAGGCATGATCATTGAGCACGAGGGTGACCGGCCCTCCTCCAAAGCTGATATCGAGATGGACGGAAAGGTTGCCAATTCTCATGTGGAGAACTTTTTGGATGGGACGCTGGTGTTGGAGGTGGATGAGAAAGACCAGGATGATGAGGAAGCCAGGAGGGAAATGGCTCGGATCCTGAAGGAGCTGAAACAAAAGCACCCCGACAAGGAAATTGAACAGCTTATAGAGTTGGCCAACTACCAGGTCCTGAGCCAGCAGCAGAAGAGCAGGGCCTTTTACCGCATTCAGGCCACTCGGCTCATGACAGGAGCTGGCAACATCTTGAAGAGACATGCTGCAGACCAGGCCCGCAAAGCTGTCAGCATGCACGAGGTCAACAGTGAGGTGGCAGAAAATGATCCCATCAGCAAGCTCTACTTTGAGCAGGGTACCTACCAGTGTCTGGAGAACTGTGGCACTGTCGCCCTGACCATCATTCGCCGGGGAGGTGACTTGACCAACACGGTGTACGTTGACTTCCGGACAGAGGATGGGACGGCCAATGCCGGCTCTGACTATGAGTTCACTGAAGGGACAGTGGTCTTCAAGCCCGGAGAGACCCAGAAGGAAATCCGTGTTGGCATAATTGACGATGACATATTTGAGGAGGACGAGAACTTCCTGGTCCATCTCAGCAACGTCCGCGTGAGCACTGAGGCCTCAGATGAGGGCATTCTTGAGGCCAGCCGTGTCTCAACACTTGCCTGCCTGGGTTCACCATCTACTGCCACCGTCACCATCTTTGACGATGACCATGCTGGCATCTTCACCTTTGAGGAACCAGTAACGCATGTCAGTGAAAGTGTGGGGACCATGGAAGTGAAAGTGTTGCGAACCTCTGGTGCTCGAGGAAATGTTATTGTGCCGTACAAAACCGTTGAAGGCTCAGCCAAAGGTGGAGGAGAGGACTTTGAAGACACGTGCGGGGAGCTGGAGTTCCAGAACGATGAGATAGTGTAAGTGAAGGTTTTATTTGTTACTTACAGTCTCTAGTTCTCATGAAATCAAATGCACGTGGCTCCCAAAGCTGCACTAGAGGTGTTTGGGTGCCAGCGCATTGCAGTAAGCCATGAATGGCCTTATGTGCTTTGGGGAGCCCGAAATGCTGCGTTCCTGCCTTGCTAACAGACGAGCGAGCGATGCCTGCTCGGAGGCACTCCACCCTTCCAGCAGCATGGAGGTGGGACTGGTTTGTGAGCCCAGCCTCCCCTGCCCGACCCATGCGCTGAGCAGATCTCTATAGCCTCCACTCTGCAGTGGAGCAGAGAACGAAACCGAGCTGGCTGTTACCGCCCAGCCACAAGGACCCCTCTCGCGAAGGGCCCAAGCCGAGTGTGTGAACTGTGGTACCTACTTCCCCGTGCCTGTTGAGGGTCAAGTCATACTGGACTGGGCCACAGCCTGTTCCACTGATGCTCTGTTCAGGGCTTTGGTGAAGGTCACTTCACCTCCTCCTCTTCTAAAGGCTGCAGGCCTGGGTGGTTGTCCAATGCGTGTCCTGAAAAAGTGTAGTCATGCAGAGAAGCCTCATGGTTTGCATGCAACTGCAGCCACATTCGGCTGTTTGCAAATACAAAAGAGGCTGAAAGCTGTTGGAGGCTACTCCTGGTTGTTGCTAGGTCGATGGTGGAAAAATTATTGGTGCTGTCGCCTTGTTTGTTACGTTATGTGGAGAATATAAATTAGCCTAATAGATCATGGTAGGAAACGTCTATCCCTGGGTATGTCACGAAGATGTTTGCTTGCCCAGTCGGGGCTCCGGGACTCGCACGGGCTGGGACTCGCGTTGTTCCAGCCTCAGCCTCTTCCTACGGCGAGGTCTGTGTCTGCATCAGTCCCGGACAACAGTAGACTCTGTAGCACAAAACCACGGCATAGAACTTGGAGCAGACACTGGTAAAGGGTACCGCTGTGTCAAGGAGAGCTAAATGTTGGCTTGGGTGTTGCATATCCTACAACTGGTCTGTTGGGAGCTGAGACAGACCCGTAGTGAGCGCCACGAGTGGCCCTTGTGTTCTATCTGTTCCGTCTATCTGCTCCGTGTGCACAGGGAGAATGAAGCAAGTGGGGGAATTGTAAAACTTCTTGAAGTAAGGGGAAAGAAAAAAGTGATTTGTAGTTCTCAGGCAAAGTATTGGACCAGTTGGGGTTTTGACTTCTGTGGAAAAACTGAGCAAGAACTTCACAACTCCGGCAATCTGGAGGCCAGAACATGCATGTTGTGCACCCAAGGGTTGAGAGCACACGGTACGCCGTTGTTCCTGCCTCCTGAATGATAACTGTAGTAGAGAGGGATGCAGTTATTTGGGTTGGTTTGTTTGGTGGTGGTTTTTTTTTTCATTTTGGGAGAAGCAAAGAGTTGTCTGCAGAGATGCAATGAACTAGGCTATAAGGATATCCCCCGAAGGCTCTTTACTTTTTAACCAGGTCACTCAGCACTAGAAAAACTGGGCTACTGGCAGGAAGACTTTGACGTTTGATCTCAGTTCCCCTGGGACACGACATGCTTACATGGCGGGACACACGCATGGCCGCAGGCTCTGCGACTGCACTCAGAGGGGCTTGGGCTTCCCCCCTGTCTTGGACCCCTGACGCTGGCCAGGATCTCTGTGCTGTCCTTCGTCACAGACTGGTACTGTCGCCTCTGTCTGCGCTGCCTGTTGGGGCTCAGTCTGGGATGGGAGGGACGGGACGTGGGAAGCATCGCTTTAGGCGTTCGCAGCCTGGTAGAGATGAGGGCTCGAGGAATGGGGTGGGAGGAGATGGCGACTGCAGGGCCGAACGCCGACCGAAGGGCTTGCTCCGTTCGGGTGGGAGAGGACGCGCACATGCCTTATTTTTCTGCAAGAGGGATGAAACTGATTGTACAATTGCAGTCTGTTCGTGTGCCTGAAAGACGGTAGGTATTCCTCTAAAAACTTAGCTGCTACAGTCCATGTTCAGGTGTTGGACGGTACAATCCGACCTGCAGAATATTTCTTGCAGGTTCACGTTTGCCTGTTTAGGCAGAAGTTTAGGACAGCCCTGCAGCACAAAGGCAGTGTGGTCCTGAAGCTGAAGTGCTGCTTACAGGCATCCTCCCTTGAAAGGATTTGCTCTCATGGGAATGAAGATGTGCTAGCACAATATGTGAATTATAGAGCTAAAGCCTGTTTGCTGTGTCACTGCTTGTTAGTGCTGTGCTTCAGCTAAATCACAGCTACATAGCACGGTGCAATTCCCCAGCACATTTGATTCAATAAAGTTCTAAAACTTCAGGTTTTCCCATGCTCTGATGACCAAGAGGTGGCTTTGCTGCCCTTTCTAAAGGTCTTTAGTGGCTCTTCAGCTCTGCCGTCGTAGGCTGTATCAATCAGCTTGATAAAATTGAGTAAGATGTGTTTTTCTGAGGCCCCAATAACAAAGGTAGGGCAGTGCAGGGGGACACGAGGATGAGAGAAACCTGTGTCCGAGCCTCTGTTATCAGAGGGCTGTCTTGCTGGTAAGTCCCAGTAAAATTAGAAAGCACTGGGAGGGCCCTGATCTCCCGGAGACCTTCCTCCGGTTCCCAAAAGGCCCCATTGCGTAACGTGATGTTTGTTCGCAGCGTCCAGAGACACTTTCCCATTTTGCAATCTGTTGACGTCCCCTTTCCCAGAGCACACACAACAGCTGTGTAACTGCTGAAGCCGGGCCACTCCTGTGCGTTCGAACAAAGATCTCGTTCCGATGCTACCAAAAAAGATGTATAATGGAGAAGATGTTGGTCTTCCTAGGGAACATTTTATCCCAGCACTGCCTGGTAGCCTCTTGGAACGATGCTCCTTGCTCCTGAAGCACAGCTTGCGTGTTCAGTGGGTGCCTGTTGGCGAGTGAAAGAAACGGCATTTAGATGTGTTTTGCGAAGGGGTCCGCTGGGTTTGCGCGACAGATTGTTCCAAGCTATGTGGGAAAGCTAAAGATGTCTGACTTGGGTCTCAGCAAGGTCAGTCTGAGTGATGCTGCACGGGTACCTGGGGCTCTGAGACATCGGTATAGGACAGGGTGCTATGATTTAAAGTGTAAGAGAGCACCTTCCCTCTGGGGCCGTCCTCAACAAGGCGACTCCAGCCTTGTCCTGCATCTCCATTAATGATCAAAGCTTGATGAGAACATGGAGAAGATGTGTAGTTGCAGGCTCTTTCTGCCCACCCGTCTACCACAGCTATAGGGATCATAGAAGAGGTCACTGGTTCATCCAGCCAGTGTATTTTTATCTCCTGACCGAATGCCAAATAATTCAAAAGAAGTCCAGCCTCTGATCTTAGAGGAGGAAGCAATCCTTCCCCCAGCCGATGGGATCTCCTTGCTGTCTTGAAACATCAGGAGGGGCATCTCTTCCAGATGTGACTGCAAAGCTGTATGAAAACTGTGTGTTCTTTCATGTTCAAAAAATAAATAGCAGTGTTTCTAGAGATAACATTGCAACTAGAGATCTGTTACAATCTGCATTCTAGATATCTGCACTCACACCCCGCAAAAGCAAAGCTTTTACTGCATTAATAAATCTGTGAGGAAAATTATACCCACAATTATATGCATAACTGATTAAACTGGTATTTGACCTATGCAGTTACACCTGTAAATGCATGGAGAATCTTATGTCAATAGATCTGGCTGTTCATAATATATAGTTTAACTCTTTTTATAAAAGGTGTCTGCTGCAGGTTTAGGAAGTGATACTCTTGGCCCATTGAATTTGACTTGTCCAAGCCAGCGTTGGCATTTCTCTGGAAGCATGAATCTAGGAGCCAAATGCTAACAGTGACACAAGCATCAACTAAATCATCTGATTTTTATTTTTTTTTTTAGGGGAAGTGTCCCCAGAGACCACATAGCCTCCCTTCCAAGAGCCCTTTAAAAAGGTCGATGTCAGTAAATACAGATTGTGGCAGGGGGGAATCAAGTGGTACTGCTTTTTTAAATTCCCCTTTTCCAAAAGTAGTTGGGTGAGGTATTTCTAAAGAAACTGCAAAAATAAAATCCTGATTCAGCCCTGGGACCCCTCTAGTTCAATTTTGCATCCATGGCCTGCAGCTTCAGATAAAAAAAAAAAAGAAACCTCCAGCATGGTCAGCCTTGCCGTAGGATGCAGTTGAAGAGCAGAGAGTCTTCTGATGTGGTGGAGAGACCGCTGTAATCCAGGCTGAAGGTGAAGCAAACAAACATTCCCCTTTTCACATTTCCTCGTTGCACGTGTTATCTCTCTCTCTCTCTCTCTTTCTGTCCCACTTGTTTTGCGTGGGTCCGTGCACATCCCTCCCTTGCGAGCCCTGCCTTGTGCAGGGTTAACGTCTGGAGGCACGGTGTGAGATACCAAAACAGACCCAACAGAGGTCGAACTCTTACTCGGCCCACTTCCAGCACCCACCTTGGGTTTCAGAGCATGTTTTCCCCTTGCCGTGGGCTGTCACGCCCGTCCCAGTGGGACTTGCAGGCAGTTCAGCACCAGACCTGGGTCCTTGGCGAGAGCACCCTGTGCCCATCTTACGGGAGGTGACCTTGGCCACGGCCCGCAGCAGGGACCTGGGGCTGGGGGCCTGTTCCCCTTTCCAGGGGAGTTTTGGGGAGAAGTGCCCTGTGGCTGAAATGTATCACTGCTTTGGGTCCTGAAGGCCAAAAGCTGGTTGTCTTCTCTTCAGGGGGAAGATACAGCTAAAAGAGGGTGAACCGTCTTCTTTTTTCCTCCTCTTCGTTCACACAATGTTTAGTCTTTCCTGAACGCTCCTGAAATGTTAGCTGCGATATCTCCCAGCCGTGTGCGTCTCTCTTAAACGGCTGTGCTCCTCTCTCGGTTGCACTGGACAGCCTGCACGTTTCTGTTAGGAGACAGCAAGGAGATAATGCCAGGTGCTGCTCACAGACCTTCCCTTCCCCTCCTCCTGCGGCTGCTCACCGTCGTCCTGTGCACACGGACCGGGCACCGACTGCCGCGGACGTGGCATGTACCGAAAACATCACTCCCAGGTGCCACG